TCTATACTAGTCTCCCTTTATTTATTTATCAGCACAAATAAACACACACACACACACACACATATATATGATAGATCAGGTAGATAGATCAGATCTCTCTCTCTCTCCTTCCTTCCCTCCCTCTCTCTCTCTCTCTCCTTCCTTCCCTCCCTCCCTCCCCCCCTTTCTCTCAAGCGTGGTTTGGATTAGTTTACCTGAAGAGTCCAGCCAGGCTACCTGCCTGCTTGATCCCTTCACTTTCCTTCCAACTACCTACCATCTATCCATCTAATCTACACCTGTCTTTTATCTATCATATCTTTCTCTATCCTATATTTTACACCTGTCCAATTCTACATGTCTTATCTATCATCTCTTTATCATTTTCTATCATCCTCATATCTGTCTTTTATCTATCATCCCTATCCTCTCTTCTCTTACATCTATATCAATTTATCTTCTATGATTTATCTATCCCATCTATCTACTCTCACATCTACTGTATCTATTTAACCCTCTCACCTTCCTCTCTCTAGCTCAGTGGGGGGTCTTCTTTGCAAGGAATCCCCTGCCCCACAAAATATCGGCTGTCCACACACTAAGCTCCAAAGCCAGGTTGGTCCTTGGTGGCTCAGTGCCCCTCGAGCCAGGAAACTCACCACCTGAGTTTGCAAGGAAAGGTGGAAAGGGAAGGATACTGCAAAATCTCCATTTCCACCCCACTCTGGGACCAGCCAGAGGTGGTATTTGCCGGTTCTCTGAACTATTCAAACTTTCCGCCACCGGTTCTCTGTACTACTCAAAATTTCTGCTACCGGTTCTCCAGAACTTGTCATAACCTGCTGGATTTCATCCCTGGGCTGCATCCTTGCTCCCCCCCCCATTTGCAGTAGCTGGGCACCACCCTGGCATCGCCAGCCCCTTCGCAGAGTCCCAGTTTTGGGCATCTGAGCATGCTCCTTTTCCAAGCCTTTCTTGACTTCCTTCTGTTTTTGGGGTTCTTCACAGGTTCCTCGAGACCAGGGCCAAGGAAGCGGGGTGAGTAACAATCGTAAGATTGCCAACAAGCACAGCCGACGGGCGCTCAAGGCCAGCTTGACCCTTGGCATCCTCCTGGGCATGTTCTTTGTGGCTTGGCTACCTTTCTTTGTCTGCAACATGGCTCAGGTAAGCACTCTGGAGGTAAATTCGAGGGGGCAGAGAGACGATAGGGAACCTGGGGTGTGTGTGTATATGTGGGGTACATGGCAGAAGGGAAATTGGGAGCTTGCTCAGCTCCAGTTATCTCCCACTTCTTGTCTGTAGAGATTCTCTGTTGTCCAGGTCATGGTTGTCCCAAAGGTTAGATAGATGATAGATAGATAGATAGATAGATAGATAGATAGATAGATAGATAGATAGATAGATAGATAGATAGAAAGAGATAGATAGATAAATAGGCTCAGGATTGTCTCAGCCTTCCATCCTTCCGAGGTGGATAAACTGAGGACCCAGATTGTTGGGGGCAAGAAATTGTGACACTTAGAGAGGGCTGTAAAAACACTGTGAAGTGGTATATATAAGTCTAAGTGCTATTGCTAACAACTGAGGCCAGGAAGGTCCTAAAATGGAGCAAGCCTCACTTAACGACTGTCTCGATTAGCAGCATAAATTTTGATCGTATGTCGAGGACTACCTATATTTGCAAAAAAGCGGCAGCTTCTCTTATTCTGTCATTTCTTTCGCTTCTCCTCAAATGGCCGTCTTCTTCTCGCTTTCCTCCAGGCGGTCTGCAATTGCATTTCGGAAGATTTTTTTGACCTCCTGACCTGGCTGGGCTACTGCAACAGCACCATGAACCCCATCATCTACCCGCTCTTCATGCGGGACTTCAAGAGGGCCATGGCCAAGTACTTGCCCTGCTGCCCCCGCGCGTGGGAACGCAGGCCCAGCCGGGTCTCGCTCTCCCTCAGGAATTCCAACAGCGGCCCCCGGCCGGGGGTTTCCCTCAGGAACGCCCTGACTCTGCCAGGGGAAACGGACTCGGCCGATTCCATCGTCCACGGCAATGACCACAGCAGCCAGTCGCTCAGCTTCCTCCCAGCTACCCGGGCCAACTCGGTTCACCTTTCCGACGCTGAGCGGACGGAGCCAAAGTTGAACCTCATCTATCTGAACACGCCCTCAGACTGAGCGCGGCCCCTGGTCAGCTCCAGGTTGATCGGTTGTTTCTGACCTGCGCTGGGGATGGGGGCAAGACAATGCCACCGGTCAAGGGTCCATTTCCAAACCCACAAATGTCCTTCCTTTCACCCGGATTCATCATCTCCCACCTCAGAACTTACTGCACTTTTTCAGAGTATAAGATGCACCGGAGTATAAGACGCACCGGAGTATAAGACGCACCAAGATTTTGAAGAGGCAAATTAAAAAAAAAACCCTGTTTTGCACTCTGCAGACCTCCCAAAAATGGCCCATTTTTCACAAAAACATGCCCATTTTTTTCCTCAAAAAAAAAAAAAAGGGCATGCATAGCCTTTAGGTGGTTTATAGAGTGCTCCTGGGGGCAAAATTGAGCAAAAAGTGGCTGTTTTTTTGCTCATTTCTGCCCTCCCCGGCCCCCAGGAGCACTCTGGAAGCCTCCTAAAGCCTCTGCACGGCCATTTTGGTGAAGGGGCGGGGTTTGGGGAGGCAAAAAATGCTGTATTCAGTGTATAAGGCACACCCAGATTTTCAGCCTCTTTTTTGAGGGAAAAAGGTGCGTCTTATAGTCTGAAAAATACGGTGGATTTTTTTCTCTGCCTGCCAGCCTCTCAGCTTGGTTGCCTTCTAGCGTGATTCCCCCCCCCCGCACACACACACTTTGTATGTGGTTGCAGAACACAGTGTTGTGGCCTGCTGGCAGCCGGCAGAGCTGACAGCAAGGAGGCTGGGGAGGAACATGGGCCACTCCTGGGGGCTGAGGAAAGACGAGGGCTCTGCGTCGGAGGTAGAGAGGGAGCTAGAAAGCAGCGAGGCAGAAGAACAGCTGGAGCCTGTTCCCAGTGTACGCCTGCGCAGAGCTGCCAGAAGACAAGAACAACTAAGAAAACAGGGTCGACTTGGGAGTAAAGCCACACCTTGGGAGGTGATTGGCCCCTCCCAGAGGAAACAAATGAGGAGTGAACGGGGAAACAATATGTTCTTTTGGTCGTTTCAAGAGTGGAAATTCTGTTTGTGACTATAAGAGACGCTGTGCCAAGTTTTGCCTTGCCCTGTGTTTGGTAACTAATTATCTGGCAGCTCGCCAAGCAAGATAAGGTCCGTGTTGATAAATATTCCTTTGAAAGGCTTGTGGACTGTGAATGAAAGGAATTCACAGTCGTGTAAATAAAAGGGGTTTTGCCGGGACCAAGACTCCACTTCTTGCTTGTTAAGGAAGCCTGGGTCAGAACACACGGCCAAGGAAACGTGTGTGCATACCCATGAGTGTTTAAGAGGGAAGCACAATGGGGGCCTGCCCTGGCTGGAGTTGCACCCGCTGCAATGTTCTCATCCCCTCTCCGACCTACAGACTGGCCGCTCATTGCCCCAGCTGTCCCCCTCTTGCTGTTTTCCCCAAACCAGAACCCCATTTTCCACCTTGCGCGCAGCACCCAACAGAAAAGTTTCCCTTTGTTTTTTCCCCAAACCGGGGTTAGCAACAAACAAACCAGGATAATCTGTGATTGCATCATCTGTGCACTGCTTAATCCTGGCCTCCTGGGATTATACATCTGAAATCCCAACAAGGTGCAATATTTCCCCTTGCCAGATTTGAGGGATTTATTACATTTATTACATGCTGTTTCTATCACGAAAAGACCACTGGTCCACCCCGCCCTTCACAGCTCTTGGTCAGCTTTCTGCATTTTTTACAAGCCACAGCAGCCTTTTTATGTATAAATTTATTTATTTATTGAGTTTATATTGCCACTTATTCGCCCACGGCGACTCAAGGCAGTTTAGAGATTATCTTCAGCCTGCCTGCCTCTCTGAGCTGCATCTGACTGCAGCGTGGAAGGAATCGGGGTGGCATTGCTAACTCTCACAGTTGTGGATGTTATTATAGGCCAGTTCAGGTACAGATTAACAAGAGTTGGAAGGGACCTTGTGGGTCATCTAGTCCAACCCCCACCCCCACCCCCAAACAGGAGACCCTACACCATTTCTGGCAGTCCAGTCTCTTCTTAAAAGTCTCCAGGGATGAAGCTCCCACAACTTCCGAAGGGAACTTCAGTTCCATTGATTGATTGGTCTCACTGTCAGAAAGTTCCTCCTTATTTCTAGGTTGAATNAGCAACTTAGAACTAAGGAGAAATTTCCTGACAGTTAGAACAATTAATCTGTGGAACAACTTGCCTCCAGAAGTTGTGAATGCTCCAACACTGGATGTTTGTAAGAAGATGTTGGATGACCATTTGTCTGAAGTGGCATAGGATTTCCAACCTAAGCAGGGGGTTGGACTAGAAGACCTCCAAAATCCCTTCCAACTCTGTTATTCTGTTATATTTAACTGCAAACTCGTGTCAATTTCCCAATAACTATTGCAAGATAGGGAAACATCTATTAGAAGAGTTGAGGGGGAAATGGAATAGCACAGCCATTAATATGGTGCCCTATTGCTCTCTAACTAATAAGTTAATCAATAATTTATACAAATTCAACCAAAGGTGGAAATAGTTCAAATCCTTCAACATTTAAATTCTATTCTTGCAATTCCTGGATCTAATGCATGTCAAGAGCGATGCCTGCCTTTCTTAGAATTTTAGAAATTAAGATATGTATTTTTTTAGAAATAGACCTCATTTCTAATTTGAGGTGGCAGTAAAAAGGATCATAAGCGCCGAGTAATTTAACTTGGCAATAATTGCCTCTAATTGACTCCATAGCCGGCGGAAGAAGAAAATGGAACATAATTGTAATTGCATTTAAATGCTAAGATGGGGTTTTTTAGGAATCTTACTTCCCCTCGTTCTTAGTCAATGCAAATAACCATTTGCTGATTTTTGGCTTGGAATTCCCCCCCACCCCCCTTTTTTTTGAGAAAAATAGAGAAACTGACTCCAATTTTCCAAGTTATCAGTAGGGGTGAGGAAGCAAATAAATGTCTTAAATTATTTCTTTTTTGATAAATTGAAGTCTGATGCATGCAGCTTTTTACAGCAATCTGCTGCTTGCTTATTTTTAACATATGAACTTGGAAAAACCCTAGCAGACTCAGGAAAGATTTTATTTATCAGATTTACATGCCTGCCCCGCCTTGTGCCATGTAACCACGGGCAGCGTATAAAACCATAAAAATAACCTTTTAAATGCATCCAGATATATACACCATATTATAAAAAGCTAATAAAAAGAACCAAAGACAAATTCCTTGTGTGTCCAGTCACACATGGTCCATAAAGAATTCTATTCTATTCTATTCTATATTCTGTTCTGTTTTATATTCTATTCTNCTCCTGCAAACTCCACTCCCCTTTCGCTCCTCTTTTATTCCCTCTGGGAGGGGCCATTCACCGTCCACCTGTGGCCTTACTCCCAAATCGACCCCCGTTCTTTAGCTGTTCCCTTCGTCTGGCAATTCTGCCCACTGGGAACAGGCTCCAGCTGTTCCTCTGCCCCATTGATGTCTGAATCCGAAGGCAGCTGATAACTGTCAGATGGGCCTGGCCCCCTCTCTGCCTCCGACACGGAGCCCTCGTCTGAGTCTTCCCCAGACTCCAGGACTGGCCCATCTTCCTCCCCAACCTCCTCACTGTCCGAATCTGCTACCAGCTCCATTGGCCGTTGGCGGGCCACAACACTATCCTTGGCATTTTCCATGCATGCCTGACTCAGAGGTGGGTTGCTACCAGTTCGCACCAGTTCGGGTGAACTGGTAGTGGACATTGGGACTGGGTCGCCAAACCAGTAGGGACAGCTGCCTGGCCATACCCCCGAACCGGTTCCCCAATCACCCATGCCGTTGCCGGCATATATTTTTGTCACTCATTTTATAATGTTCCGCACATTCGCAGAACAATTAACAGGCAATTGCGCATGTATAAGCAATGTCGGGGGGGGGGGGGCAAGCTGAACTGGCAGTGACACCGGCAGCATCCCACTCCTGGCCTGACTACAAGCCCCATCCTCCCCTCCCTGCCAACCAGCACAAAGCCAAGCATCACCACAGAGACCCTCTCGAACAGACCTCCCCAGGAAAGGTCTCACGGGGTTGATGGGCAGCCATCAAGACCACCTCCTGCCCCTCTTCTAACCCTGGCGGAAGAGAAGAACTCCAGAGACCAGGCTTAGAAGGGTCCCTGGCAGTCCTTTTGCTTTTAGGAAGCTCAACTGAGTCTTTCTGGGGGGAAAAAATATAATCTAATTAAACCTTTTTTTTTTTTGCAGAGTTCAGTAGGCACTTAAGCTGGTGGGAAATTAAATACGCCAGCAGGATTTTTGCCTTGGAAGGAGAATGAGCCACTGGAGCTGGCTTGGATGAATAACATAATCTTATTTTTCTCTTGGCATGGGAAGACTCTGGAGCTCTCCCTGTGAGGGGGAGGGAGGGAGGGGGGGGAGAGAAAAAGAAAAATGTTCCCCAGCAAATGAAACGTAATTAGCTAATATCGTTTAGTCACCAAGCAGCTTGTTAAGAAGGCAAAGACACCAGGGCTGCGGCACAGCATAAATCCGGAAAAAAGGAATCCGGCTTGCCAAAAATCTCCCTTCTAAATTATGAAGGGCTGAAAACAAAACACCAGACTAAGTTTCTAGTCCTCATGGGGGAGGGGGGGCGGGCAAAAGCTAACCGCACAGGGGCCTGGGTGGCATAACACTAACACGCAGCCTAACCGTACTGCCTTTGAGAGCATCCAAGATGAAAAAGGTATAAATACTTCGAAGGTAATTAATTGTAACTTACCATTTCTCTGCCGTTTCTCTTCCAATGACAACATTTTCCAGCAGGTTCTTACGTTATTTCGGTAGTTTTAAACTCTTTTTATTTCCAGGTCTGATGTCTAAATCTTTTAAGCCACACAAGCCTATTCATTCCCCCCACCACACAAAAAAGAAGTACATTAAAAAAAATAGGAACTTCTCAACCACTATCCAGTGCTTAAAGAAATAAATTAAAAATCTGCCTATTTAACCCAGAAGACTTAGACTATAATTCCTCCATTGTTTAC